GAGCCCTGTTTAAAAAAAAAAAAAAAAAAAAAAAAAAAAAAACCAAACCAAAACAAAACAAAAAAGCAACAAAAAAAAAGACCAAAAACATTTTTTCTGTTATTACTCTGTGATATAGGTGTGTAGGTATGTGTGCCCCACAGTGTGTGGAGGTCAGAGGACAACTTTGTGGAGTCAGTTTCCTCCTTCCACTGTTACATGAGTCCTGGGGGTTGAACTCAGGTGTCAGGCTCGTGCTAGTGCCTTTGCTTGCTGCTCAAATGGCTTATCTGTTGCTGTGATAAAACACCATGACCAAGGCAGCTTATAGAAGGGAGAGTTCGTTAGGCTTACAGTTCCAGGGAGTGAGAGGCCATCATGAAGGGGAGGCACAGTGCAGGGGTGGCCGGAGCAGAAAGTGGAGCATTCACATCGTCAAGCCCGTACAGGAAGAAGAGAGAGACTGGACGTGGGTCAAGGCTTGTGAACCCTCAGAGCCTACCTCCGTGATGTGCTCCTCCAACGAGGCTGCACCTCCTGGGAATTCCACGACCTTCCTACAACAGTTCTGACCAACTGACCAAGTGGTTAGATACTCGAGCCTCTGGGGACACTTCATTCAAACCACCACACCCACTGAGTAATCTCGCCTGCCCACTTTCCCACACGTTTATGTAAAGTACTCCTTATGTGAGAGATGAGGCGCAGATTGAAAAAAAAACAACTGCTTATTTCACATAAACTGACAGAAGACTATCAGGAAATAATCAAAGAGAAATCTAAGTATAGATGTGGATAGGAACCGAGAAACCAGAATGTGTGTGTGTGTGTGTGTGTATACACACACAGAAAACTGGGTCCTCTGTGAATACATATGTATATATATATATATTGAGTCCTCTGTGAACATGTGTGTATATATACACACAGAAAACCAAGTCCTCTGTGAATACGTGTGTGTGTGTGTGTATACACAGAAAACCGAGTCCTCTGTGAATACATGTCTATATATATATATATATAGAGAGAGAGAGAGAGAGAGAGAGAGAGGAAACCGAGTCCTCTGTGAATATGTGTGTATATATATGTATATATACACAGAAAACTGAGTCCTCTGTGCATACATGTGTGTGTGTGTGTGTGTGTGTGTGTGTGTGTGTGTGTGTGTAAGCCTAACGAGCTCTCCCTTCTGCACATATATATGTGCATGTTGTCTCTGGTCCAGCATTTCCCCTACTTTATACCCAACAGTGTGTTTGCCTGTAGACCTGTGCAGGTCAGTGGTCTTTGACTGTCGACAATCTGATCATCGCAAACATGGCATCTCCCAGCAGATTTAGTTCTGTTTTTATTGTGGCTGAGAGCCAATGGAGGTAACCATGTGTTTTGAGGTGTTTGTATCCATTTGCTTCTGCGTAACGTCACCGTTTTCTTCGCCCGTGATTTTGGTGTTTTCAGGACTTGCACTCCTTGATTATTCCCCCTTGTGGTCCAAACATGATTTTTAGTTACCTTTGTGTTCGTTCTCCATGCATTTTGTTGTTGATGTTGTTGTTTATATAATGGAGTTGCCAATATTTTTCTGTCTTCTGAATTTTGTGTCAGGTCAAATGTTCCCAGTAGATTTTTTTTTCTGGCTCTTGTACAGCTCTTTTTGGTCTGGTCTGGTTGGTTTGGTTTGGTTTGGTTTGGTTTGGTTTGGTTTGGTTACAACAGAGTCTTTTGTACTCTAGACTGGCCTCAAACTATTTTAAAAAATTTAGAATATGGGAGCTAGAGAGATGGCTCAGCAGTTAGGAACACTTGTTCTTCCAGAGGATCTGGGCTTGGTTCCCAGCACCCACGTGGCAGCTAACCACCATCCTTAACTCCAGTTCCAGGGGACCCAACATCCATTTCTGGCCTTTGCGGGCATTGCACGCACATGGTGCACTTACATCCACGCAGGCAAAATACAGACATAAAATAAAAATAAAATATTTTGAAAAATATAAAATGTAAAATATAAGTTGCTTTAGTGAGTCGTTGAGCAGTTAATGCCTTACTGTCACCCTGTGGGAGGGAAGCCTAGCTCAGGCAGTCAGACTTGTGTATCAGTGTCTCTACCCACCAGTCTTCCCGGTCCTCATTACTCTTCTATGTTGAAGTTGATCTTCGAATCTAGTAATGTCAGCCCAGTCCTCCCTTATGATCTCTGCAGCAGGGTTTCATCTACATGGTTTAGCAGCCACTATGGTGAGGGAAAGTGATGCTGTTGTAAGCATCCTTCAGGCTGTACTTTGTTATCCTCCTGTAATGCAGCTCTGACTACAACCCTCCAGTTCACCTCAGTTTAGATCGTATTGAAAAGACCATTGGGAGGCAGAGGCAGGTGGATCTCTGTGAGTTCAAGGCCAGCCTGGTCTACATAGCGAGTTCCAGGCCAGCTGGGGCTACACCCCCAAAAAAGAAAAGAAAAGACCAGCCTTTCGGAATGTGAATGTGTTCACTTCTTCCCTCCCCATAAATTACTAATGATCCATGAATCACAATTTAAAATCCTATAGTAGTGGCCTACACCTAATCCCCACACCTTTAATCCCAGCACTTTGGAGGCAGAAGCAAGCAGATCTCAGTAAGTTTGAAGCCAGCCTGGTCTACATGGCAAATTCCAGGCCAGCTAGGGCTTCATAGAGAGACCTTGTCTGAAAAAAACAAAAACAAAAAGCCTATAGCCTTGTTCACAGTGAGACCCACCCCAGTGAGCCTGCTTGGAGCTTGGGTGACAGCCACCTTGCAAACACCGGAGGGTCGCCTCTCTTTGCAGAGAGCTGTCTGCTGCCCGAGTTCACTGTGGATTTTCCCACTTTACCTCACACTTCTTTAAAAAAATGGACAATGGTCTTCTATATCAGCCAGCAAACTTCTCACTTTCAATTTAAACATTTAAACTACCAAATTCTAAATAGCATACCAGCTGGAGCTGGAGAGATGGCTCAGCAGTTAAGAGCACTAACTGCCCTTGCAGAGGACCAGGGTTTGAGTCCCAGCACCCACATGGTGGCTAACAGCCATCCCTAACTCCAGTTCCAGGGGATCCAACATCTTCTTCTGGCCTCTGTGGGCACTGCACAACACGGGTGCACTTAGACACATGCAGTGAATACACTCATACACATAAAATAAAAATACTAAATAATATATATGGTCTTTCTATATATATTTTATTATATATATTATATATAACCCGGGCTGGACCCCAGGGCTGGTGAGGAGGCTG